TTTGATCATGAAATATTAATTTCATAATCCAGAAGTTGTAGACAGTCACCATTATTGTATGCTCCCCTCTTCCCTATTATCCAGTTAATGAGAAGTTTTACTGTACTGAGGAGAAGATACAACAAGAAATTTTAGAGTTGGAGTGCATGAATGTTCGGGTGTGATACAGACGATGGGATATAAACACCAGGATGTACATAGACATGGGTAACCCACTTTTCCCCGCATGGGGTTTTTAACTTTTTTAGTAGTGGCTGTCACATAGAACTACGTCATTGAGGTCAGGGTTCCTCAGGTAGTTTTATGTCATGACCTTAGCTCACTAAGGTAAGCTGTGAGTGGTTAATTTTGGCGTAGATATGAGAGAAAGGGTGTGTGCAGTGAGTGTGTGCAGTTTAAAGTCCTGCACTACTTGATGTATGATGGGAAAAACAAAACTGTGAGTCTGTGTATGATTTAAAATAGTGATTTTGAAGTGTTTTCTTGGATGATTTTTTATGGCTTTATTGGCAATTTCATGGTATCTTTTGATAGAATGGAAAACACACTATTGAATGGATATAATTTTGATTGGTTTAAGGACTGGAAGTAGCTCAAAAAGTGGAAATGTTCGTTTTTGCCAATTTTTTTCCGAGAAAAGTATTTGATTGGTTTCAGGACTGGAAGTAGCTTGAAACTGAGTTCAAAGTAGTGGTTAGCCAGACTTGAGTCCTGGAGGTGGGAAGTACTATGACTGCACTCTGAAGGGAAGGGTGGAGATATTTGCAGTTTGGAGAGGCATCTAAACTGGAGTATCAGCACACCTCTGGCAAGACAGTAATAGTGAGTGATAGTGAAAGTCTTTCTTCTTTTTTGGGTCACCCATAAAACTCCAGGCCACTTGGTTACCATGGGTACAATCCTAGCCCATTCCGTGATTGTTTAACAATTTTATGATGATTATAGTCATTTTTATTTATTATACTGTTATTATTTTGACACAAGTTTCCTACATGTTTCAGGCTACAGGAGCGAGCTCTGAGTCCATCCCTGGTAGGCTACCCTCCGGTAACTAATGTTGCCACTCCTCCAGCAGTACTTGCTGCACAGGTGCCACCCCAGGGAGTCACAGTGGCACCAGTTGCTGGCCCTGGACCATCACCAAACCCGCTGGGACCAGGAGCTGCAATCCCTTCTCCAGTACCGGTATCGGTGGGTTCTCCTGCACCTCCACAGGCTGCCCAAGTGCAAGTAGGGGTGAGTATCTTGTAGCACTGTAATTTGATTTTTTTTTTTTAACATGTCGGTCGTCTCCCACCGAGGCAGGGTGACCCAAAAAAGAAAGAAAATCCCCAAAAAGAAAATACTTTCATCATCATTCAACACTTTCACCTCACTCACACATAATCACTGTTTTTGCAGAGGTGCTCAGAACACAACAGCTTATAAGCATATATGTATGTATAAAGATACACAACATATCCCTCCAAACTGCTACTATCCCGAACCCCTCCTTTAGAGTGCAGGCATTGTACTTCCCACTTCCAGGACTCAAGTCCGGCTATATAAAAATAACCGGTTTCCCTGAACCCCTTCACTAAATATTACCCTGCTCACACTCCAACAGATCGTCAGGTCCCAAATACCATTTGTCTCCATTCACTCCTAACACGGTCATGCACGCCTGCTGGAAGTCCAAGCCCCTCGCCCACAAAACCTCCCTTACCCCTTCCTTCCAACCTTTTTGAGGATGACCCCTACCCCACCTTCCTTCCCCTACAGATTTATACGCTCTCCATGTCATTCTACTTTGATCCATTCTCTCTAAATGACCAAACCACCTCAACATCCCCTTTTCAGCCCTCTGACTTATATTTTTTATTAACTCCACGCCTTCTCCTAATTTCCACACTCTGAATTTTCTGCATAATATTTACGCCACACATTGCCCTTAGACAGGACATCTCCACCGCCTCCTCGCTGCTTCATTCACAACCCAAGCTTCACACCCATTTAAGAGTGTTGGTACTACTATACTTTCGTACATTCCCTTCTTTGCCTCCATAGATAACGGTTTTTGTCTCCACATATACCTCAACGCAACACTCACCTTTTTTCCCTCATCAATTCTATGAGTAACCTCATCCATCATAAATCCATCCCCCGACACGTCAACTCCCAAGTATCTGAAAACATTTACTTCTTTCATACTCCTCCCCAATTTGATATCCAGTTTTTCTTTATCTAAATCTTTTGATACCCTCATCACTTTACCCCTTTCTAGGTTCACTTTCAACTTTCTACCTTTACACACACTCCCAATTCATCCACTAACCCTTTGCATTTTTCTTTAGATTCCCATGAGCACAGTATCATCAGCAAAAAGCAACTGTGTCATTCCCATTTGTATTTGATTCCCCCTAATTTAATCCCACCTCCTCCCGAACCCCCTAGCATTTACTTCTTTTATAACCCATCTATTTAAATTTTTAAACAACCATGGTGACATTACACCCTCCCTGTCTAAGACCCACTTTTACTGGGGAGTAGTCTCCCTCTCTTCTACACACCCTAATCTGAGCCTCAATATCCTCATAAAAACTCTTTACAGCAATTAGTAACTTACCACCTGTTCCATATACTTGCAACATCTGCCACATTGCTCCCCTATCCACTCTATCATATGCCTTTTCTAAATCCATAAATGCAATGAAAACTTCCCTACCTTTATCTAAATACTCTTCACATATATGCTTCAATGTAAACACTTGATCTACACATCCCCTACCCACTCTGAAACCTCCTTGCTCATCCGCAATCCTACATTCTGTCTTACCTCTAATTCTTTCAATTATAACGCTACCGTACACTTTTCTTTATTATCTCTTATTCTCTTATTGTACATATTTGGCTCCCTCTTTTTGGTGTTCCACATTTTTGTTGTAAGGGAAGGGCAACCGGTGCCATATTTTAAGGCAAGTATGTGCTGTGTATTTATTTTACTTTATCTTTTTTTATGCTAGTTATATTGAGCACTTATATGATAGTGTAAACACATTATCAGACACATTTAGTTTTGAAAAAACTGCTCTTTTCACCTGCTGGCAATTTTCTTTTATCGTGTGGGGTCAGGAACCTAAGAGCCATACAAACAGGATCCTCCTGTATTTATGTCTTCTTTTCCACACTTCAGTTTACAGGGTAAGAGCTCATATCAGATCCTTTCTAATCCCAGCTTGTTGTCCTTGTTGACTTAGTAGTAAATAGTTACCTGGATGCTAGCTGACTGTTGAGAATGGCATCCTAGGCAGGGTGAGACTCATGGGCAAGTCTTGTTATACCTGTTGTCCTTGTTTACCAAGCAATAAATAGGTATGTACTTGCATATTTGCTATCCATTATGGGTAGTATCCTGGGAAGGGGCAGTGTATGTTAGATAAGGTTGAACCTTGAAGTGAGCTGAGGTATGATAACACAGCTTTTAACCTGTAGTCTCAACTGTGTTAAAAAAATGTATGTAGGTTATTTCTGTAGATTTGATTGTTAAATAAGTCACAATTACCTTTGTGCAGTATGTAAATTATATGTATATACAGAAAATTATTAGTATTTTTTTTTTCAACAAACCGGCCGTATCCCACCAAGGCAGGGTGGCCCAAAAAGAAAAAATGAAAGCAAAAAGAAAAATGAAAGAAAAATTTATTTAAGGCTATTTAATTAACACTGCAGAATGACCTGCCAGGGTTTATAATTTTTAATAATTTTTAATATAATAATTATTATAATGGATCAGTGTTTTTGTCACTGTATATATGTATTAGACGATGAATAATCTCCATGGGGAAGCGGAGAAGAATCCTTCCTCTGTAAACTATGCGTGTCATAAGAAGTGGCTAAAATTCTGGGAGGAAGGTGCTAGTAACCCATTCTCCTGTATAAATTGCTAAATGCAAAAAGAAGATAAACTTTATGGCTTTCTTCTTTTTCTGGTCAATCTGCCTCAATGGGAGACAGCCAGTATGTTGAATGAATGGATGAATAATGCTGTAGAGGTAGTGAATAATGTATGTAAATGAGTGAAGCATTGGAATATATGATATGCAGATACAGTATAGTGTACCTTGCAGATGGTGAGACCCGGTTCTGTTACCCAAATTGTGGTTAATCCTACCCCCAGCAACCAGCCTATCAACATTCCTAACTTGCAGCCAAATGTTGTACCAGGTGAGCTACTACTGTTGTCTGCACTCTGCTGAGAAATTTATTGTGTACTTCATATCTAACATTAACCCTTTCATTGTCAAGACCACTGCTGTCAAACTTGCTCTCAAGGTCAAAGAATTTAAAAAAAAAAAATTCTTATGAAAAGTACGAAATTTAATGAAAACTTACAGAATTATGCTCTTGCAAAGTTAGCAGTCTCTGTGATATTTATGCATCAGCAATTTTGCCCACCTTGTGCCATATTTTTGGCTAATTTCATTGTTTCAGTCCACCAAACTCACAGCTATTTCACTAGTATTCCTTCTGTTCTATCACTTAACCCTTAAACGGTCCAAACAGATCGACGTTCAAATCCGTAGTGCTCCAAAAGTAGATCTACGTTTTTTTTTACATATTTTCAAATACGTATAACAAAAAATAAAATGTAGATAAAAGTTTTTTACATGTTTTCAAATGCAAAAAAAAAAAAATATACATTTTTTTTCTCTTTAAATGTTTAAAAAACTTATACTGTTATAGGTTTGGGTTTAAGGGGGTTTAAATACAGAAAGCCCCCTTTACCTATTTCA